GACGACCACGACGACCACGACGACCACGACGACCACCGCTACTACTACAGAAGAACTTTGACCTGGTCGTGGAAAACCATGCGTTTCTTTGCCCCTAAAACAAGAACCACGTTCTGGAACTCGTTGCAGCACTCGGTCCCAAGAAAAGGCTCAGTTCTGGGTTGAAACCTTTGGTGCGCAAAGCAAAGCCGTCATAAACAATCTCACCTACAAACTCTCCTGCCAGCGGCCCCGTGACAGGGGCGCTTCTGAGCGGGAACACCCGCCGCGCTGCGCTCCAGAAAAAGTCAGAGCTGCTCATACAGCCTGAACCCAAGACAGGTTTTAGGGACTTCTAGTTTGCTGCGCAGCTGCGCAATCGAAAAAAACATCAACTCCAGCTGCGGCCCCATTCTTGCATCACCAACCTCGTTGAAACACCAGAAATGCAAAGGAAGGTTTCATAAACGCCCCCCTGCAAATTTCCAGCTCGGTCTCCCCAGAAATGGCTCAGTTCTGAGTTGAAACATCAGGCGCGCACAGCAAAGCTGTCATAAACACCATCCCCTGCATCGCTGGCCCCAAGAAAAGCTCAATCTGACTTGAAACACCAAGGTGCGCAAAGCTTTCAGAAACCGCCTGCTCTACAACTTTCCAGCTGGTGGTCTTCCGGTTTTGCTCTTGGCAGTTTCGTGTTCAGAGCACTGTCTGACTTGCTCTGCACAAGTCCTACACCAAGCATGGCCTTACATTCAAAAGAGGCCTCTAGGCCAAAGAAGCACCTAAGGCGGGTTTGCCGCAGTTTTGGGAGCGGCCTTGGGTTTTGCTTTTGTTGCAGCCCGTTGGGTTGTTGCCTGCTGTAGGTCGCGATCAGACAGCTTCGATAAGGCCTTCTGCGCCTTCTTCGTTTGTCGCTGCGAAGCTTTCAAAGCTTTTTTTGAATTAAAGCCTTTTCACAGCAGCCGTTCAATGCGCGTCGACAACGGAACGCCTTCTTCAAAAGGGGAAGGAAGCACCTGCCAACAGCTTTAGGCGCGCTTTCGGAGCAAAACACATCGGAAAAAAGGAAGGGCTGCTGCCTCAGCCGCTGGAGCAGCCATGGGTCCACGGGTCTTTGTAGCTGCTGTAGCTTTTCTTTACGCCAGAACAGCAGCACAGCTGCAGTTTAGAAGAACATCTGAACCCCAACTCCTGTGTAGAAAACATGATCCCACCGACAAAACCCAACAATGAACCTAGCCCTGTGAACATAAAAAACATGAAAACATGTAAAACAAGGGAAAAGAAAACCGCGCCGTGGGCCGTGGAGAGAAACTTCAGCTGCGCAGTCAACAGAGCAGCTCCATAGTTTGGTCGCGCATGCGTGCGCCGACTGCCACCACTGGCTCAAGCCCACGGAAAACAGTCCGCTTCCTTCAAACAACGTCGCACTTGCAAATTTAATTAGACGGCTCTGGCCGCGTTTAGTAGGGGTATAGCTGCGCGTCCACTCCACGTCATCCGCCTTCCGGTTTTGGACGTGGGATGTGAGCAGAAAAACATCACACTGGCAAACATTTCTAAATTCGATACATTCTTGCCCCATCTGAACCCGAAACGTACGTCCAGTGAGGGGGCAAGGAGAGTCTACGCAGGCAATCCCTTTCTGCTGCCACGCTGGTACAGTGGCCGCTCACAAATTACTAGCGCCGAATTCTGCCCCAACCAACTTTGGTCTGCCTGATCCATAGCGGCAGCCTCCTCCCGCCATTTGTTTGATGCCACAATGAGCACGCAGTTGTGCGTCCACACCTTGTAAGAGTACATGTTCGCGCTAGCTATGGACACTGCTTCCACTCCACCGTGAAGGGGCTTCTCGCGCGCTATCACCATAGCCGGTGAACGCTCATCAAACGCGATGGCTTTGCGTCGCAAAGGGTCGAAAGCCCTCGAGTCTGGTTCCAACAACTTGTGGTTAACATGTCTTTGCGTTGCAGCAAGCTGCCCCAAGTGTGTCCGCTATCATGGCCTATCTATCTTTTGCTAGTTGGCACGCGTCTTGAGACACCACATTTTCGGACAGATCATCCTCCAAATGACCGAGTTTCTCTTGAAGGAGATCGATCATTGCGTAATCTTGCGCGGGCTTTTGGTTGCTCCTGACCTTGTTTGGTTTGCAAACGGTTTGCTGTTTGTCCGAGTCTGATTCTGAACACCTCCAAGTGTCTTCAATTCTCTTGCTAAACCAAAGCTTTAGTAATCAGCCCCGAATAAAGTTCTTTGAACAAAGCCTTTGATGACACGCAGTACTTTGAAGGGTTGGGGATGTCCGAAGTCATGAAGCATCTCCCAGACCTGCAGTTCACGCAGCAACGATTGCTGCTGACCAATGGATCGGGTTTCCTTGTCTTCAGCAACCCAGGGGTTTCACACCTTCGGCCATCAGGCGCGTCGCAAAGATCAAAGCCATTTGTTTCCACGCACGCTTCGCTGACTTCGAACATCCCCAGCCCCTCGGGGACATTTCGCTAGAGGAGCACAGGATTTACAAAGGATCGAGAAGCAGCGTTAGACACCCATGCGCGCGCGCGTTTCGTAACTTGTTGGCCAGATTATAGGTTGGCTCAAGGCACGGCATGACCAGGGCCAAGAGGGGCGTCGGAGGTATACGCGCCAGAGATTTACAGTTGATCTAACGCATTTTTATGCATTGTTCATGATGTGAGGGTGGCGTGACCAGGGCTAGCAGGGGTGTCCAAGTTATAGGGGCCTTTGGAAGCTGATCTGTGCGGAAGACACTGTAGAAAAAAAGAGCATGGTGTTCGGATCCCACGGCAAAAAGAGTCGTAATACAAAGGTTTTTGCTTGCCGAGAATGGTTTTGCTTGCCGAGGAATAAAAACCGTCCATATTTACAGTGTGCTTTTGGCTCCCTAATGAAAAAGTGAATACCGTGTTCACTGGATCATCGCCATGTTGAGGATTAAAGCCATCACTATTCACGCGTTGCAGTTTTTGCCTGCACGCGTGCGCGCCCAAACACATGCTGTTGGAAGAGGCTTTTTGGCGCACATCAAGACCAATGACCAACAGCAGCAGCAGAAGCAACAACACGGACACTCACACCGAGGACAACAACAACTACTACTACTACTACTACTACTCCCACTACCACTACCACTACCACTACCACTACCACTACCACTACCACTACCACTACTACTACTACTAGTAGTACTACGACTACGACTACGACTACCACTACGACTAATACTGCGACTACGACCACTACCACTACCACTACCACTACCACTACGACTACTACTACTACTACTACTACTACTACTACTATCACAACGACAGCCATAACAACAACTACAACAACAACGACGACAACAACAACCACAACAACCACAACCACAACCACAACGACAACAACACCAGCAGCGTCGGCAGCAGCAGCAGCAGCAAGAACAAGAACAAGGGTTAGGGTTCGGCGGCACGTGAGTGCAGAAGAAAAAGAGCTCCTCGAAAAGAGACGAAACATAACAATTATACCAACTGCAGGGGGAGCACGATATTGTTCCCACCACAGCCACAACGACTAACACCAACTACACTGGTGTGCGAAGCTCTACAATATACAGTACATACATAATCTACCTGTCTGAAACAGAATTACGTTGCCTCGGGATGTGGCTGCCTCAGGCAAAGCCGGTGGAGGCCGCAAAGCTGCAGTAAAGTCCGGCGCCTCCAGCATCGCACGGTCACATTGAACACCTTCTGTATCACGGCACCAACCACGCCTGATCATAAAGCCCACGCTTTTCCAGTCTCCCAAGGATCTGCCAAAACGGCCACACCTCATAGTCATAAGAGTCATAAGATTTAACAATCTATATAATTCATGTTTCACAGCACACAGGGGCACAAAGACCTTCTGTGCACAGGGTACTGAGGGCTTGGCTGATTGCATCTCATGGTACACTGTCATGTTTGGCCTCCAAAAAATTGAAGCAAATGCATAGATCAAAGTGTGAACCGCAACTGTCGTAGGTCGCATGTTTATGCCTCCACTCTTCTTTCTTGCAACTAGATACTGGGACTCACGACTCACAGCCATCCAAGTTGTGCTCACCCAGTGCCTAAGATCGAACCCTTGACGCCCACAGGCCGGCGGAAAGGAACTGTGGAACCCAGCAAAGGGCACTGCACAGTGACGTTTCTCAGTTTCTCACAACTTGGCTTGATGACTTCCAAGCTGCCGACAACCAAAGCCTTCGTGGAGTTCCAAACAGCCAGCGACCTGAGGTCTGAGTGAGCGAAGCAAAAAGGAATCAGTTCTCGCCCTCAGAAGGTTTGAGGTTTGAAGCCTCAGGGCTTGGCACCACAGAGTTGCCAGAGAGGAGAGTTTCTGCAGCTGCAAAGTACGCTGCTGCCTAAGACCCCGCAAGCAGCTCTAAACGCCAAGCTGCTTGTACAAACAGCCCGTAAGACGCCGTAAGGTGCCAACACGGCCCCAGGAGCATTTTCGATATGAGGTCCTGGGCACATGTCACACTGTCAAAGAACACTACAAAGTAGGGAAGATTGAAACGGATGAGCACCCAGCTGCGCCAAGTACCTAGGTTGAAGATTACTTCTGCACACCGCGATCGCGCGTTGTCCGTCATCCAGCTCTCAGAAAGTAGATTGAGCATGTCTCATGTAAACACTTTGACAAAGACAGTACCAGGACCATCTTGACATCTCGCTACTCTCGTTAGGGATGTTCCCTGCAGACTTTGTACACGCACATAAATGTGCCACTTCAACATCACAAAAATTCTCGGAAATGTGGGCCGGAGTCAAGTGTTCATAGTGTTCACAAGTAGAAACCATCAGGATGTTCAATTGAGGTAGTAGTATTTCAACAAAGTTGCTCCAGTGTGGTACGTAAAGGAAGAGGCGGAGATGGTTCATCACCTGCACAGAACCCTCTGGGCTGCAAAATATTTGATGAAAGTGCAACTTGAGGAGACTGCCATTCAGCCAGTCCGAACCTGAGCTGAGCGGTGTTAAAGTGGCTCTCTTTTGTTTACTGAGGACTGCAAGCAGCAACAGACTGCTCAAACGTACATAGTTGCGTCTGCATGTGTAACAAAATAACAATATTCACTTTTGCGAACTTCCCCGGTGAGGCTTTTTGCCACATACTTCTGCAGGGGCTTCCAGAAGCTTCCCCGATAGCATTTTTGGCTTCTGGGGGCAAGCTGGACAGCTGGAGTTGACATTGATTGACTTGCTGCAAGTTCTTTCAAACAAAAGCCCAAGCCCCTCAAGTCCCTGACCACGGAGGTTCTTTTCCAGTGCCATCATGAATCGTTGATCTTCCTTCCAAAGAAAAACTGGATTTCAATTTTCCACTCAACCAGCCGGTGCGAGCCTTTGAGGCAGGTCCACCTGCTACAGGAAGCTACAGGTTCTTGGAGAGCAAGGAAAAAAATGCAACAGACTGCGGGAGGCGCCTGGAAAATCACAGTTACGAGGTCCAAGGTCAATGCCTTGGACATTGTAGCAAGAGTTCAAATCCCAACTTTGAGGTCGAGGGATCAAACAAATCAAGCGCCAAAGGAATCGCTGGGAGATGAAGAGCATGCTATATGGGATTGCAATTATCCACTTGTGTGGAAAAGCGCAAGACTCGCTAAGGCGACCTCAGAACTTCTGAGTTTCTGTTATTTGCACCTTTGGAGCTCTGCGTTTCTTGGTTGCTACTATTTACAACACCTTGGGTACCTGGGCTTTGGTCCTTTCGGTCTGCAAGAAGTGTCGCGAGAGCTCACTGAGCCTCCTTTTCACTATGCGTTCCGACGGCTCCCAGCCCCTTTGGATGGAGTGCGTGCAATGCCTGAAACTCTTGGGGTCTTCCAAGCCCAAAGCAACTTTTGAGCTGACAAGCTTTTTAGTGTGCATGCCACAGGGGAAACCAGGCTGGGGTTCCTGCAATCCGGCCCACCCATCAGCAACATAGAACTTCTGACAATATCCACATTTAAGGTTCAATTCTCCTTTGAGCAGGGCCCCAACCAAGTGACAAACCAGGAACCAGGCGAACAAAGGCTGGAGATTAAAGGATGAGGGGACCAAAAAACTTCTTCCTTCCTTCCTTCCTTCCTTCCTTCCTTTCTTCCTTCCTTCCTTCCTTCCTTCCTTCCTTCCTTCCTCTACTGTCTTTCGTTCCTCCTGGACTATTTTTGGATCCCGATTGATTTGCTTTGTTTGATCCGTCTCCCCACCCTTGAGGCATCTTCCAGTCAAGCCAACATCAGGTTGCTCACCTTGCAGCAAACCTGATTGAGTCGCAAACTGGCACACAACTCCAAGGCTTGCAGCTGAGAGAATGAGCGAAGCACTTTGCAGCTGCAGGTCGTTCCTGCCATACAAAATCTGCAAAAAGACTGCATTCAGAGTCAGAGTGCCAATGCCGCTGGGATGCTGCACGGTCTCAGCGGCTATGGCTAGGAGCCCAAAGATAGGCCAACCAGAAGCATAGACCTGAAAGTCTCGTCTTTGACATCAACCAATGTGGTCTCGTACGCTGAGTGTTCCGCGTCCCAATAAGACAAAGGAACGGTCTTCTGGAAGGTGACTCCACCAAACACCGTCGTTCCTTGCATTTGGAAACAAAGAATAACGGATGAAATTCTGGAGATTCTTTGAACTCGGCATGATTGGAGCTCCAAACGGATGAAATTCTGGCGTTCGCTTGTGTCCATGAAGTGATAGGCGAAGAAACTCAGCGAGGGATGAAGCACAATGTCTTTGCAGACTTCTGGGGCAGCGCAAGAAATGGACATAAGCCTAGGGGCTCCCTGCCCCAACGCAATGATGCCCAGGTAGCAGTCCCCTTTCAATGGAGCCTTGGAACATGTTACCTTTGGGCATCAACAACCCAAAAGCATGTTACTAGCTTCTCAAGGGTGCCTTCATCCGGTCCAAGCAAAAAAAAATTACATATATTTATATATACACAGTAGGTCAGGAATGGGTCAGGTTTGTCTCCTGACGAAAAGCCACCTTAGGAAACCACCGAAGCCAAAGCCAGCAATCTTTCAACCTGCCATCCACTCTGTTCATCCAGTCTTACTACTCTGTTGTCTGTTCGATTTTTTTGGACATCTGATAAAACAGCTGCAAGGATTCTGGGTAAGCTCTTTGTTCATTTCGATTTGTCTTGACACCGGACACCCCTGGAACTGCGACTAGATCGGTGTTCACCCTGCCATTGCTGCCTCATGTTCCAGAGCGCGCTGTCCGGGCGGGAGCCGCAAGTTGGTCAGGAAGTTCTTCATGGCCTCTGTAGCGTCATTGCTCCTAGTAGTAAGGCCAGGAGCCCCTAGTAGCGTCCTTGCTCCTAGTAGCGATGCCAGGAGCCCCTAATAGTAGCTTCTTGCTCCTAGTAGTAAGGCCTACTATGTTCAAAAGGAAGTTTCTGCCAAAAATGGAAGTGTTGCAGATTGCTCCAAGTACAACCGTGAAGCCTTCTTGACCCAGGGCCATTCAATGCCATCATCCGATGTTTGTGCCTGGACGAGATTACATAGCTTCTGAGTTTGCAAGTGAGTTCACATGTTCCTACATTTGCTGCTATTTGTCAGATCAAATCACTTATATACCGTAGATTGATTTGTTTCGGCAAGGCATCAGTAATAGTAATCATTGGATATCTGGATATCTATTAAATGCCGTATGAAAATTCCCCCGTTTGACCTCAAGTGAACAGGGGCCCTACTCCTACAGCTGGATGGCTCTTCTAAAGTGGATGTTACAAGAGAACCTTGACTTCAGCCTTGGCCAAGCTTGCCCAACAAATTAATGAATTGCAACAAATCCCTCTTGCACTGCACTGGGACAAGTCACCTCACAGCTCAGGTCTGTTACGTCTGCCACTTTTACACCACGCTCGCAGTGAGGACCTGGGAATCACGTCCAACAGCCAGCTTTGATTGATTGATCGCAGGTTTGGATGCAATTGTACGAAGTCTACCGCCCTCAATCGGGTGAGGCATTTCCGGGACTCCGCTTCATGACAAAGACCTATGTGGAGGAAGAAGTAGTGTAGAATTTATCTAATGGCTGTGGATGTTGGAAAGGAGCTCAAATGATGCCTCAGCTTACAACAGCGCTTCAATATCTGCAGTCCATAGAATATTGAAAGTGACATCTGAAAATGAACTGGGGCAAGCACAAACCCAAAGGTTGTATTCCTGCAAATTCAACATCTAGAACCGCATCCGGTCAAGCTTTGCGTGCGGTCCTTCAGGCGCTGCCCATGGCATACCTTCACGGAACATAGGAACCAAGTTCCTTTTCGCATGTGATGCTTGGTGTGTCAAGGATCACACCAGCTCTCACGCTCACTTGAAGCAAAGATCGGGCGCACCAAGAGTGGCACCAAAATCCAGCAACGAGCGAGCATGGAGCATGGTGCGCTAGCAGTGGGCCAGTGCCGTATTCAAGGTTGACTCCAAGCTCTTCACACTCTCAAACTCGCTCAAAACAAACCAACCTTGAAAAAAGGAGACCAGAAGCCTGAACAAGAAATACATCGTTGTGGCGCTGATGTCCTGTCTTTTACACTGTTGCTCTTGGCTGATCCTCCCACAGAATGCCTTTGCCAGACTTGAGTCTCATGGCTGTTTTTTGAGAATCTGTCAATCAATATTCAAAGCATTAATCAAGCATATTCTCTGGATCAGTCTCACCAAAGAACTCTTCTGTGTGCCTGTGTATACATGCGGGGAATGCAAACATACATTCTGTAGCACAGATGGCGTGACGATGCAGCCAGCACATCTATCTTATCTATCCAGCCAGCACATCTATCTATCTATCTATCTATCCATCCATCCATCCATCTATCTATCTCCCTCCCCATCACTGCTTTCTGATGTGTTTCCATCAAAATCTTGTTGCATCTTGTTGCGGTCTTTGGACGTCCTGATCTTGTCAGTTTGCTCAATCAAAGAGCTTGTACCGATGCGTTCACCACTCTGAACTCCTTAGGAAGTGTCCCTTCTTGTACCCCTTACACTCCATGCACATTGCTTTGTACTGGTACTTCTAGGACCCTTCAATGGTGTCCAAATAGGTTATGTGACGCAAATCATTGGAGGAAAGGCTCTCCCAGTTTGCCACAGCAATGCCAAAAATCAAGCCAACTATATCATGCTAGTCACAGCTTGTGCAACAACACGTTTTGCGAACCCAGAACGAGCAAACGTCCCTGAACACGCCACTTGGTTTCCTGTTACAGCGCACTTTTTGAGCCCGTCAATTTGGTCAAGACAAGATCTCACGCGTGACCACTGTACTTGAGGGAAGCCTCCGAATTCATGTAAAAGCAGCTTGAGCCACGTTGAAACGTGGGGCGAACTCTGCACTTAGGACAAGGACTCTGCTTGTCGGCAGGTTCAGGTATATAATCATGCAGGCGGATGACTGGATTGCATCCACTGGCGCACCAAAGGCGAAAACACACAGCTGTGTGCGTTGATGTGCACCATGTCTTCGACTGGACACAGGAGACTTTCCCATCTATGCGTGAGCAAGCGGAGACGGCCACGACTTCGTTGTCAGATTGGCAGAGCAAAGTCGTCCTCGGCCCTGTGGCCGGGTGCCCGGAAACGCTCCACTGACGCCGTTGGTCACGGCAAAGAGCGGCAGCAGGCTGTGTCAGGGCCATGGAAAATCTATGCAAGACAAAAGCAAAAACAAGAGCCTCTTGAAGTCTCTTACTGAGGCACAGAGATCTGATTGTTCCAGTGACTCTGACTCAGCACCTAAGGAAAGGTAAACAGAACACGCATGGCCTGGGCTTGAAAAACTCCCTCTAGGCTCGCAAAAGGGTCGACACTAGGCGCGTTGGGAGCTTTTCGCCACCAGCTCATGTTTCTCAAATGCCCTCGGGTGACCCCTCTTCAGATTTCTTTGGCTGGACCTGCAGCGTCGGGAAAGCGTTGCGAAAAAGAGGCGAATGAGGAGCACAGAATTTTAAGTGACTTCAAGAACACTCGTTGTGGTGGCTTCAAAGCAAATCGTTTTTTTGTCTGGCCTTGTTCCCTTCTTTTCCACCTGTCCAACACAGACGCTTATCACACACTAGAACAACCAAAAGCCCAGGCTCTTGGTCTTCTTGTTCCTCTTCGGCCTGGCCTTCCAGTTCCAAGCACACGCTTTCTGTCTGGTGTTTGGCTTCACGTGCCGCACGCCGAGCTGCGGCTCTCTTCCGCCTTCGAAAATCCAGAGACCATTGAACATTGAAAGAACCAGGGCCAAATGCCAGCAGCACACAGCACAGAAATGAAAAAGTTGACTGTCCCAGGCCTGGCCATTGCATACTCATCCAAGATCTGCAGGACAGCTTCATGAGAGCCATTGAAGTTCCGCTTTCGGGCAAGTTGTCGTGCCGACCATCCAGATGCATCCTTCAGGGCTTTTTAGGAGTGAGGAGTTTGCACAAAGGATTGCGAAACATGCATGATGTTGGTTGCAGTCAAAGTCCTTCAGCTTGGTCTTGGCTTTAAAATGAAGGAGGATCCGGACCATTTCTGCCTGAAAAGATGCAGTCTCCAGGTTCCTTTGAAAATGTTAGGTAGCAAGCATGAACGCGACCGCCCTGGTTTTGACCCAAGCGCTACAGCGGAGTAAGGTAGTTTTCAACTAGCAAACTGTGCACTTCCCTGTACATCTAGTTACACAGCAAAAGCTAACACCCCGCCTAAAATCTTAAGCGAGGTCAGCTTGAGATTCTCTTCTCAAGGCACTTACCCACATCTGCTATGCGGGACTGAATCCGGTCTAAGTGCCATTTCCGAAACTTCAAAGTTCTATTCCAATGAAACTCGTTCACTGATTCGAAAGTCAAGTGAATTCAACCGTAGTTCCAGTTGTCGTGTCATGCAACATTTCACATTCCAACCACCAATGTATAATGCTCAATGCTCAATGTTCGAAGCTCTTCTGCTTTCTTCCTCTTCTGGCTCAGCATCATCTCTCCCTTGTCTCATGTTCCTGGCGTAAGTGACACGCCGTCGAATCCTTTCGTTGATGCTCTCGTCGATTGCCTCTTCTCTATCAGGTTCTGGCACTTCAAATCGTTTCTGATACCTATCAACTTCTGTCATCACCACATCTCCGGATGAAGCTGCTGCCTGCTCTTCCTCCGGAGCTGCCTCAAACTCAATGATCTCTTCTGAACTGTCTCTATGATGTAAGGCCTGCCAAAACTCTGGATCACTGCACTCTTCTAGTTGCAAGTTCAAGTACCTTGCAACCTTAGTGTCCTCTGACTCTGCTTCTGATTCTTCTTCTTCTGGAATCTCTGTCTGCGGAATGGCCATATCAGTCAACAACTGTCGAACTGCTCTTCGTGTGCTTTCTCCTGGATACCTAAGTATCACACTCAACAAACTGAGGATGATCCCTCTCTTCTCTTCCAAATCGAACTCTTCTGTCCACGTATGGTGCTCTACTTCCAATCTCATGTCAATCCACTTCAACGTTCTGCGAATATCATCTTGCAAATGTAAATCGAACATCTGCTTTGTCGGATCAAATGGCGGATCCTCTTCCTGCAGGGTTCCAGTGGCCCCGCCTTGCTCAACACCTCTTCTCTTCTGCGTCTCTAGGAAAATCTTCAAACCAACAACTGCCAACAATCCGAAAACTGCCAAGCAAATCAATGTACCAATCATCTCTGCTCGTTGCTCTTCACTTGCCATGCAACCTTGCAAGCTCATGCCTAGTCCTGCAAAGGTTCCGAAGACACACCTGCCTATTCTCTTCGACACCATTGTCTTCACGAGTTGAACTGCTTGTCTGTCCTCCACATGTTCAAAATACTCTCTAGCTCCAACACGTTCATACTCAGTGTCTTGGTTGCTCAAAAGAATTGCTTGAAGAAAAAACATCAAGAAACTCCTTCTACCAATGCTCAACTTCTTCGTGTTCAAATCAGCATTGTTCAGCTTCGTCGCAATGGCCTTAACTTCGACCAAGCCGTCTTGAATCAATGCCTGAGTCCACATAAGACGAACATGGTAATGCTTCAACCTGCCGACACCTGTTCTCTGAAGCCACTGCCTCGCACTGCTCGAGTCTGTTCTCACGATCGTCCTGGAAACACTAGAAACCATGAAATCCCAAATGGTTTTGATCAGCAATGTTTCGCTCAGCCCACCTGTAAGTGCTAGTAGTTCAGCTTCACAAGATGAAAGCGCTAAGTCATTGTCATCTTGGTGGTCTTCGCCGACTGTGACCGCAGAGAAGTGTCTAGTTCATTTGATCTTGTATTTGAAGGGAACAAAGAACATGTCATTTCTCCTTTCCTATGAGAAAGCAGGAAATACCATGGTAAAGAAGCTGAACGGCATGAGAGAAGAGTATGAGACAAACGACAGACCACAAGAACACGTCTTTGAACTGTTCACAGACTCCGATTGGGCAGGAAACGCACCTACAAGAAAGAGCACATCTTCAACAATTCTTTGTCTGAACAGTGTCATTGTTCACAGTTCCTGTGAAAGATACATGAGTGTGCCAAGGCCGCTTCTGAAACACTTTCTCCGTTCCGGGGAGTAGTCTTCTAGACTTTCGCTGCAATCCACTTGGCCAAGCAAACTATGGTCTGGAGTAGATTTTGGTTTGTTTGAACTGAGATTGTACAACTTCACCAATGCATCGATGTGTTTCTCACTGGGTTTCACAAAAATTCTGTCTGGTGTGAACTTGTACCGTTTCTTTAAATAACCAATCTCTTCATCTGTTCCGGTCTGGCCAAGTGGGACTGGTCCTTCGACTTGTAGTTTGTACCGCTTTCTCAGCTCTTGCAAAAGCCACTCGCCATCAGACACAAACTTCAAAGCAACAAGGATGTCGTCCACGTGAACATTGACAACCATCAACTTTTCTCTGTGTCTGAAAATGGAAGGCATCAGAATGCAAGGTTCGAAGCCCAACTCACCAAGGACCTCCGAGAATGAAGAAAACCAACGTTTTGCTCCGTTTCTTTGTCCTGGAAGAACTCGTTTCAACTCCCACAAAACATCGTTCTGCAAATTCAGCACTTCTTTCATCCAAGGCCTCAACTCAACATAGCAAGGCTCCACCCGCGGAACTGTCAAGTACGCGTCACTGATGTCAAGGCTCATCAACTTCCAATGAAAGTTCAGATGCATCACAAAGAAAAGCCTCACTGCAGACGTTGCCGTAGTAGGTGAAAATGTCTCTGGATCACTTGCTGCTCCTGATCGAAATTCTCTTGCCACTATCCTACAGCGTCTCTTCCAAGCTCCTTCTCTGAACCTCCAATCGAAGACCTCTTTCAGGTCAATGAACTTGACCTTGGAAAAATCAACTTCTAAACTCTTAGCTTCTTTCACCACTCCTAGTGACTTCAACTTGTTCACCTCTGTCAACATGGCCTCATCATCAAGCCTCTGCAACTCTTCGTCTGAAACCTCCGGGGGTTGCTGTCCATGAAAATCTAACTCATGCTCTTCATCCAAGGAAACAAGAAATTCCTCAACTCCTAAACTCTGCTCGACCTCTTGCTCCCAAAGTTCATCATCATGCTCCTTCATCTCAACCTGTCCAGCAAACAAAGGTGCATATAGGTGTTCTCGGCCACTACTAGGACTAGCATTCAAGCCTTCACCACGCGCTGCTTTCGCTCGTGGTGATCCTTCTTCTCCACCTGCACTTCGTTTCAATGAACTTGCCATCTCAATGTCATCAATGAGCGAACTAGCTTCTTTCAACTCTTGCATCACACCTGCGTCCAGCAACGGGGGAGTAACCGGCGCTTTTCCTCCTGGCGTAGTGGGCGCATACTCTGAGGACATTGCTTCTTCTGCATCCAAAGCATCTTGATCTCTAACCTGTTCTCCTTCTCGAGGATCACGTCGATATCCACCAGCCTCCATGATCACTGGTAAAGGTGTCCCAAGTCCAGCTGGTGTTTTCGGCCCTTTCTGTTTAAGCCAAGGACTGCAAACCAATGCGTTGATCACATCCTTTCTCCACGGTGTTGCACACCGACGAACTGACCTGGAAGCAAACTGTCCGGTTGGGGTGACAATGATGTTCATGTCGTTTTGGTCTTTGCCAACCCAGATTCCACCTGTCCATGTACTGACACCCTTTTGTTTTGAAGGTTTCTTCAATCCAAAACAGAATTCTCCAAAAGGCATCAACTTACCGTCGTACTTCTTGCCATACACGATCTCGAAAGGTGTTCCACGCAAAGCACGATGATCATGAATCTGTTCAACAAGAAACAACTGTGAACCAAGGCCCATGCTCTCAACACGTGTGTTTCCTCCAGCGTCGTTCCAATGGCATCCTCGACATGCATCACAAGAGCCATAGCTTGATGCTTCATCGTTTGAATCTGTCGTTCAACTCTAGCTGTCCTGCCCTTGTGATATGGCTTGCCCCTGATCTTCGTCCCGGGGTAGCCCATCGACCTGCGAATCTCCACGACCAAATCTAGGAGACTGAGTGTGGCTGGCTCTGAATCCATGATGAAGTTCACATCTTGCAAGTATCCCAAGTCTAATGAAAATCGAACTGCTGCTTCGGCCGCTTGCCTGTAAGCTCCCTTCGTAGTCGTTGGGAAGACATTGCAAAACCTCGTCCTGGTATCCAGCATGCACAAAGCCGGACAATCTTTGCCAAGAAAACTCCAATCCATCTGAATCGAAGGAATGCCAGTGTCCTCCTTGTCGAAGTCCGTGCTCTGACTGCTCTTGTCTTCTCGTGATTTGGCCTTCACACAAATACTGCACCAACTCTGGAATGGAAGATGCGTCACTGCATGTCTTGCCTGCTCCTCCTCCCCAGGAAGGGAATCAGGAGCCTTCTGCACGGAAAGCTCTGGAACCAACATCTTCTTTCTCAAATTCTCTGAAACAACAACTGCATCTCTCTTGTATTGCATTTCAATGTAATTGCACAACCTTTCAAACAGCTTTCGTTTGGAACCGCTCTGACTGACACCGAAAAACTCACATGCTTCCCTAAGAAACTTCACCGGACTGTCTTCGTTCAACTCTTGGCCATTCACAAAAATTGAATCTGGGCACTCCACCAAGCCACCAGCACTCTCCTGCTGCATCACCTCTGGCTCAACTGCTCGAAGCTCATCTGGCACCAAAGGTTCACGAGGAAAGAACTTTGCAGGTTCTCCAATCTGATCAATCGGTCTCGGTGGCACCTGATGTCCTGCTGCAATGGAAGGAAGGTCCTCTGCACCTTGAACTTCACACTGAAATGTACTGAGAGGAACCATGTTGCGTGAAGGGAAAGTCAAAACTGAAGTCTGAAAGACGAGTCCTGGAATGAGTCCATCGTTTGTTCCATGAGACAACTTTGCACACAACTCAATGACTTCCCAATGGTTTCCAACTTTTGCTATCGTGGTTCGATATCTCCAAGGTGCACTAAACGTGTTCCTGAAGTCGTGGAAATTCCGACCGAATGCAAAATGACATGGTGATCCGTTTTGCAAAAACTGCCAACCTTCTTTCAGCTTCGACACGTCCATCGAAAAAGAAACTGTCACTCCACAAACAGCTTTTGTTTCTATCTCTTCCTCTTCAACCCTTCTCACACAAGCAAGAATGCTCAGGCTGTTTCGTTTGTAGAACACTGGAATGCGGCAAATCTTGTCTGGTGCTATCAAAACTCCTGCACAAGGACCATACTTGCTTTCGTTGATAAAGTTCCTATCTCTATCATCTTTTGCTCCAAAAATCCAACCATGCTTCAACAACCTTCCCAATGATAACAAAGGGTTTGTGACATTTGCTACCACGAACTCCTCATCTAAAACACACTCATCCATGTGCTCTCGTGGAAATGCTTGTACTAGTGACAACTGAGCTTTGCGCAATTGTTGGACCTTGACTGCTTTGCCCTGCGCATCCTCCAATCGAAGTGAAGGAACCTGACTCAATTCAACTCCGGCTTCTGTCCCTGAAGGCAATAGTGAAAGGTCTGCTCCACTATCTAGCACTACCCATTCTTCATGCTCTGAGTTCTGAACCATTCTGACATGAAAACTTTCTTGCTCCTGTTGTGACAACCACCCATAGAACGCGTCGTCAGCGAGTGAGTCAGCATCAACCTGAACATCATCTGTATCGAAAATCTCGTAGGCTTCAATTGGTTTGTTCACCAATGAAATCATCCGAATTGAGCCCCATCTGGAACTCCTCCAGCTGTCAGCCTCTGAAATTTCACTCATTGCAAACTCCTCGGGATACACATCTGGAGGTGTAGCAACGTGATACATCTTTACTCTTCTCACACCTGCTCTTCCACCACCGGTAGAAGCTGTTGTTGAACTGTACAATGAACTTGTCGTCGACCGTCTCATGTCTTCTGTCGGAACTCTCTGACTAGCAGCATCTTCTTGTCTCACCGCCATCACCATAGGAGTGTTGCCACGATTAGGACATTCATTGCCCCAATGTCCTGTCTGTCCGCACACCCGGCACCTATCCGAGTCCACCCGGTACCTATCCGAGTCTCCTTTCTTTCCTTTCTTTCCTTTACCTTTGCTGCTCTTGCCTTTGCTCTTTCCTTTGTTACTCTTGCCATAGCCTTTGTACTTTCCTTTCTTGCCTTTGCCTTTCTGGGAATAGCCGCTTCTGAACCAAGAACTAGCTCCACTCCAGGCGTTTGACCACCCGGACCAACTGCCTTTGCCACCTTTGCCTTTCCAGCTGTTCTTACCTTTGCCAAGCTTGCCTTTGCCTTTCATAGTCACAGCATCAACCTCCATCGGAACAACTCCACCTGCATCCTGCAAGCTGCTCATAGTCGACTTCGAAGGTTGTGCAACATTCTTCAATGCATCTGTCATGGACCATGTTCTTGTAGACCGCTCATAACTGAGGATCTTCTCACGCACTTCACGGTATGAAGTTCCCTCTTCAACAGCCATCGTGATGTGTTGCCTGATGCTCTCTGGACAAATCCTGAGGAGAACTCCAAGTAGCACGTCATTGTCAAATGCCTTTGACCTCAACACATTGTACTCTTGCACAAGTGCCTCAAGCCCTGAAATCTGTTCAGCTATCTTACCCAATTCCATCTGGGGGTAGTTGGTGATTGCTTGAGACAAGGACAATGAACGCAGTCTTGTAGCTGGTGCGAAATGATCTGCTAAAGATTTCCACAGCTTGAACCCGTTCATCTCCTGACTGTGTGCTCGACTGAGTTGCAAACTACTTCCTCTCAAATAGGAAGTGAGGATCGAGTACAACTTCCGAGATAGCTCTTTCTGCGCATCGGACCAAAAATCATCTTCTACTTCTTCATGAGGTGCTAGTTTTTCACACTCTTTGATCCCTTCAATGAAATCTTGATTGCTGTAAGCTAGCCAGTTCAAAAAGCTATGCCTCCAGTTTATCCACACCGAAGCGTCACTTGAATCGAAGACTTCAGGAGGTTTGAGGATCTTTGCTGCACTCTCCAAGTTCCTCGCCAAGCTTGAAGAACTGCTGCCACCTTCACCTAATCGAGCAATGGCAGTTGCAGTGTTCTCCGCCATGATACCTTGCCTGTGCATGTAGCTTGAAAACTGCTCAATGAAATTCGAAAATTGTTGTTGATCCATGCATTCAACCGACCAACTGCTCAATGTAAGCAACAAGAACTGGAGTCCAAGTTTGTTTCGTCTCCAACAAAACCTCTTCTCATTTCCAACACCTGACTGCCTCTTTCTCACCTGCTTCTCACAACCTTTCCTCCGTAGCCTCTGTGGACATCGGCTCAAGCGCTTCTTGAAGGTTTCCGCAACAATGTATGCAAAGAAGGAAAACTTGTGGCACAAGGTTTGGAGTCTAGGCTCAACAAAACCTCTCCTGCACCATCTTTCAGCTTCTTTCCAACACCAAAGCTGCCATGCCAACGTACACGCTGTCACCACATCAATGTACAACTTTTCAATCGAATTGCTCAACTTGTCAATGCATGCTTGCTCAACCAATGCTTTGCCACCAACAACAAGCTCAACCGACCAACACGCGCCATCTGTCAACCAAGGTTCGACCAACACCTGTTGCACAATGTACACAAGCAGAATCGACCACGCTCCAACCAACCAACGTGCAACATCCATGGCTCTAGCCCCTCACCAGGTCATGGATCCTTGGGGCTCCGCTACCATGTTAGGTAGCAAGCATGAACGCGACCGCCCTGGTTTTGACCCAAGCGCTACAGCGGAGTAAGGTAGTTTTCAACTAGCAAACTATGCACTTCCCTGTACATCTAGTTACACAGCAAAAGCTAACAGAAAACTATCGAGCAGGATGCACGCACAAAGCCTCTACAAGAAGTTTTCTGCTCAGATTCAGGCATCGTTATCCTCCACGGCGGCATGGAGTGGAAATCGAAAGTTGAAGAACCTGGGGCCACTGCCGCATGCAGCACTTAGAAATCTAACATAGTCAACTTAGCTCCAAGCCAGCCACTGCTGCTATTCACATCTTTGAAGCGGTGTCTCCTGCAGATGAAACAAAAACACCGTTTGTTCAAGTTCATGAAGGAAGTCTCAGGTGCAGGCTTCATGAACTTGAGCAAACGTTCTCGGCGACCACGATCTTCCAAAGCCTCAGTCAGGCATGGCATCTCTGTTTGATCAGTCAGGTCTGATGGAGTCCACTGAGGATCTCAGGCCTCCTGGGCCTTGGTCCAAAATTCCTCTTCTTCCAAAAGCTCGTCCGCTGCTTTCCTGCTGCACCCAGCTTTGCAGGGAGCTAAATAAGAGTATTTCACCATCAAAACTGCACCCAACTTTGCAGCGTTCAGCATTTCTTTGGTACAGCATCAAAGAAAAGTTGATTCCACCTGAGGAGCAAGTGCCTTACTAGTAGTAACAAGAAGCTAGTAGAAACAAG